TCTCTCTCTCTCTCTCTCTCTCTCTCTCTCTCTCTCTCTCTCTCTCTTCTCCCCCTTTGCTCATTTGTTTTGTTCCTTAAATTCCACATGAGTGAAGTCACGTGGTATTTGTCTTTCCCTGAGTGACTTATTTCACTTAGCATACTACGCTCCAGCTTCATCCATGTTGTTGCAAATGGCAAAACTTCACTCTTTTTACGGCGAATATTCCATTACATCTCCTTTGTCCATTCATCAGTTGATGGACGTTTGGGCTTTTTCCATAGTTTGGCTATTGTAGATAATGTTGCTATAAACATTGGGGTGCATGTATCCCTTCGAATCAGTATTTTTGTATTCTTTGGTTAATAGTGCAATTGCCGGATTGTGGGATATTATCTGTCTTTTTCATTATAGTCATCCTTGTAGGTGTGAAGTGACATATATCATCGTGCTTTGATTTGCCTTTCACTGATGCCCGTAGATGTTGATATCTTCTCCTATTGGCCTATTCTGCAACCAATGTGCCTATTGGCCATTTCTGTATCTCCTGTGGGGAAATGTCCATTCAGATCCTTTGCCCATTTTTAATTGGTTTGTATCTTTTTATTATTTGCTTATAAGTGTTCTTTGTGTATTACAGATACATATACTCCCTTATCGGATGCATGATTTTCAAATATTTTCTCCCATGCTATTGGTTGTCTTTTCACTTTCTTGCTAGTGTCTTTTGAAAGCACAAGAGCTTTAAATTTAGATTAAGTCCAATGTATCTATTTTTGTCTACTTTTTGCTTGTTCTTTTGGTATCCTATCTAAGAAACCGTTGCCTAATCTAAGGTCTCAGAGATTTATGTCTATTTCTTCTTCTTCTGTTTCTTCTAATAAGAGTTTTATAGTTTTACCTGTCACATTTAGGTCGTTTGTCTGTTTTGAGGCTGGTTTTGTATGTGCTGTGCTATAGAGGTCAGCTCACGGTTTTCGTCTGATACTCAGTTGTCCCAGCACCATTTATTAAATATGCTCTTCTGCCTCCCACTAAATTGTCTTAGCGTCCTTGTCAAAAGTTCCCTTCTTATAAATGTGAGGGTTTATTTATGAACTCTCAAGTTCGTCCCATTGATCTGGCTGCCCTTAAGCAGTACCATGCTGTCTTAATTATTGAAGCTCTGTAGTAAACTGTGGAATTACAAAGTATGAGTCTTCCAACTTTGCTCTCAATTTTCTAGATTGTTTTGCTACTCCGGATCCCTTGCATTTACATGTGAATTTAGGATTGGCTTGTCAGTTCCTACAAAGAAGCCAGCTGGGATTGTTAACAGAGATTGTGCTCAAACTGTAGATCAGTTTGGGGAGTATCGCCATGCCAACAATGTTAAGGCTTCCAACCCATGTACATAGGATGTCTTTCCATTCACTTAGGTCTTCTTTAATTTCTTTCAACAGTGTTTTGGTTTCCCGAGTGTAAGTTTTACACTTCTGTCGAGCTTATTCCTAAATGTTGGATGGTTTTTTTATCCTACCATAGATATAATGGTCTTAATTTCATTTTTGGATTGTCTACTTCACATCCCTTTTTAAATGTAGTCCTTAAAACCACTGGGCTGTGTACAGTGGGATTCACCTTACGCTTATGGACACAATTCCATGAAAATAACCCAAGACAAAGTTAGCTTTTGATGGGAGGGGATGAAGTGGCGTGGGGCGGTCTACACAGCAACCTCACACCTTTGACTCATGTTAACAGAAAACTATCATACCTTTTCAAGTCTTCTGGTGCTTGTGCCTTGCTTCCCACACTGTATACCTGGACACGTAGCCCTGGGGAGCCAAAGGTAGTACGTTGGCCTTTCCTTTCATGTTTCTAGATTCAGCCCATTGTTCATAGATGCTGAGATTGTTCTGGATGCTGATTCTGACCCTGGTCATGATATCTTTGTCCTCCAGCCTATCCACAAATGTAGCAAACACACCCTCTTTAAAGTTTTCATTCAAGCCAGTGATAAAACTAGTCAACGGGACTTTGCCAAAGAGAGAGGCTTGAGGTCCTGAGCTCAGCACCTCTCTCTGAGATCATTGAATTTCAGCCTTTGAATAACAGTATCCAACCAGGCCCCAAGCTACCCACTGGTCCTTGTACCCAGTTCAGTATTCCTTGTGTCCAATCCATGTGGCAACCCCACTGAATTTCTCAAATTCCCTACTGAGTTCATAAATCCTTGTTCATTTCTACCAGTCTGGTAATCCTATCAAGAAAGATATAAGATTTATCTGACAGAGCTTTTTCTCTGTGAACCTGCACAGGTGCTCATGACCTGCCCATGACTGTTGCTTTCTATATGCTCATAAACTGTAAATCTCCTTTAATAAGCCAGTCCCAAACTCACAAGCCAGTTCTTCTCCTATTATAAGAGAATTAACCTCAGCTGAGGAAACAGGATTACATGGGTTAAAGTCATGCATACGGCTGGTAAGTGTGGAGGGAAGACAAGAACCCAAGGCTCATGATGACTTATTCTGTGCCCCCTCCACTCATGAAGGAGGAAGTTCCTATGTGGACGATGATGGGAGCAAGTGTGAATGTGGGAAGATACTAGAAACTCCA